GGTTTCTGCAGTTGAGCTTACATGTTTTAATTGATCCCAGATATGGACCACAGCGCCTTTTGTTCAAGTGCGGTAGTTAATCAGGCTCCTACAGAGCTGAATCTGTGAAATACTTAGGGAGACTTTAGGCTTATGTAACACAGCCTTTGAGACTACATTCTGCCACAGAAAACCCCTTACTATCGAAGCTTACAAGAAACTTCGATTGGTATGGAACAGCAAGCTGGAGCCTTAAGCTCAACATCTTACAGTCCATTTCCTAGCATTTATGTTGTGCGGAGTAGACGCATTCACTCTGACAACCCCGCAGCTTAAACGCCTCAACGTATTTTTCTTTGGGTATCTTCGCAGAATCGAGGGCATCAAAGCGGCTTGCTATTCTCGAATCACAAACCATATCAGACTATACTGTTTGACTTACTGCGGGATACCTTTGACAGCCTTCTGATCAAATCGTCAGACTCGACAGAGTCTCCCTCCCCAAAGTATAGTTTTGACCTTGCAGCGAGCCCCTTTATAGTGTATATAGGCTCATAGCATCATCGGGCCGCACGTTAAGTATGCCCTCATAGCCAGACACCTAGGAAAGCTAAAACCGGCACCAATGCCTGCCAATTTGCGCGCAGGGCCGTAGCAAAAATATGGCAAGGTCTGGACGTCCTATCATTGCTGGGAAGCTGCCGTCTTAGCTTACGTTCCCATGTTTCAGACTTGCCACATCAAGCTGAAATCACCCCTTTTCCGCATGCATGAGGTCAGTTCCTGTCAGCGAAAGGGATGCATGGATCTTCTTCGCTTCCCGAGAACTACACTCCACGGAGCTGCCAGCTTTCTTGCCCGAGTCTCTGGCCTCAAGCCTCCGGCATTCGCCACCTGCTCGCAGGAAGTTATTTGCGGTCCTCATCCCAGAATCGTGTACGGATTCGGCTGGCCGCTCTCTCGGCCTCTCGCCCATGCTTGGAACTTGGCTGTGATGCCTTCACTGACAGGAGCGTGCCGGCGAGCTTCACACCACGGACACGAGACCGGTGTGAGTTTGAGAGAAAAAAGAAGACTCGGACTCGGACTGCAGCGCGGCAGAGTTCAACTCCCAGGCTCTATGCGGTCGAGGCTCGAGAAGACAAGCGCATCTCAAGCATAGCTTTTGTGCCTTTTCTGCCATGGCCAGCAGTGGGGCTTCAGACCCAGCATACCACTGCCAATGAAGCGGTCTGGAAACCGACATTGGAAGACTTTGCACACGCATTTCACTGCCAGGACGTCGCAATGATGCCGACAGGGCCCGGCTTGCCAGTGTTTGAAGTCTCTTGTTGGCAGGACTCATGTTTGCGGTGCCAGGCTGAAAGGCAAGTTGGCCTCCCTCGAGGATTTCATATCTATGCAGAACGAGGCTTGGCAACCCTATCATCGTTTCTGGCATCTGCTCAAGCGCGTTCGTGCAGGAGCTGGCTGCACAAAGGCAGGAGATCGAGAGCCTTCGAAATGACAAGGTGCTGAGATTCGGGGTCTTGCATCACCGACCTCTTTGCTTGAATGTCCGCAGACGGGCATAGAAGACCACTACCAGGCTCAGCTGCAGGACCGACTTCTGTGATTGAAGATGGATGCTGGGCGTATTGCGCAGTGCGGATAACCGGCCTGGGAGCCTCGATTTAGGTCTGCGAGACAAATCGAGAGCGGAATTGACAAAGCCAAAGCCAAAGCAGGTTGTCCCCTTCTGTTCCGCAAGCGGCCAGGCGGCCTCCGACCAAAAATCTAGCTGGTTTCGCTTTGTCCTCGCCACGGTCCCGTGGTTCTCGCCGTGAGTTGTGTTGCCTACTACATCACCGAGTGGTACTCGCCGGTGCAAGCTGGCTGAGCATTTTGCTGGTCGCAGGGCTGCGGCTACATCTATCTACATCTGTTGAACTCGGTGGTTCTTTGAGGCGGCCTGCGTACCCTTGCATGCTCAGAAGCATCGTGAAACCGAGCAGGTTCAAACAAATGAATGCAAAAGATAATTGCTTCTCGAGTGGTCGAGTTGTCCTCTAGTGTGGTCCTCGAGTGGTTTTGTGGTGATGTTTAGGATAGTTTGGTGGTGGACTTGTCATTGCAGAGTCGCCTTTGGGTGGTGGCCTTTAAGTGGGGTTTTATCTCCTGCAATCCTGCCTTGCTGAATGTAGGGTTCTGTTGCTGCAAATGCACCAATCAGATAGAAACATAACGCCATTTTCATGAGTGCGCTGGCCTGAGACTGCAATTCGACCTTCGGGGTCGGTGGACTGAGGAAGTCCAGAGTGAAACAGGGTGGAGCGCACCTGCAACTGCGGTGGAGGAGCTGAAGAAGACCATGGTTGGCGATGTTCAGCGGTTGCAAGATGAGGCGTAGCATTCCGACCCGATCCTGCAGCTGCGGAGAACTGTGATGGTGCTTGGCTTGCTGCCAGGTCAAGCGACACTTCGCTCAACAGAAGGCAGGCAGTTACTGGTACCACACGGGAGACATCAAGTGACGGCTGTTAGAGGCAGAGAATGCTCGCCTACAGCAGCAAGAGGGGCCCCAAGCAGCTGTCGTCTCCTGTCACCTCCATGTTGCTGTGCTCTCGACCGAGATCACGACGCTGAAGGGTGAGAAGACTTCACTTCAGCAGCAGATTCTGGGTCACCCACCCAAGACTTCGCACTCTAAGAGCAGGCTGGAAAGATGGCATTCTAGGTCTCTAGATTAGCTCAGGTTTGCAGCGGCGCATACAAGAAATCGAGGAGCAGGTTCTTGGTGCACGTTTGCCTTGCAGACTAGCGTCGTGCTCCGGTTTGTTGGCGCTGAGGTGGGCTGCGACTGAGGATGCCATGTGCTGACCAAGGGCAGGAACCTGCACCTGACGGCATGTCTGCCTTTCTGCCATGGTTTCAGCGCTCCTGGCATGCATGTGGCTAGGGGAAGTTCGTTGCAGGTGTCCATAGGGCCCGTGTCTCGAGATCCTGGCTCACCAAAGGCGCTTTCAAAAATACAGTAGCACACTGTTACTGTTGCATCCCGGACCTGCGTGTGCAGGTGCAGACCAGGATCCTCCTTTTGGCAGAGTGGTATTGCTGGAATCAGGAAAAGGCCTCGCCATTTTGGGGAGATATCGCTGTCATGAGAGCCTTGCATTTATGCATGGGATTTTGCGCTTTTGCCGTGGGAATAAACTGGTTGTAGGACGCCATTGACTTTGTTTATACCTTCTGATAAGTGTTTTAAAGGCACATTTAAATTTGGACCTTCCGGAGATCCGTAACCGTAAGCTTTTTACCCGGACATTCAAAGCATTTCGTGTGATCGGGGATCGAAGACTCTATGTTCAAGAGCGCCTTGTGCCATGGCGGCACTAAACATCGCCAAGATTGTGCTGTGAGCCCAGCCCATCTGTCCGCAGGGGGGAGGGGTGTGAAGCTGTTGCAAAGCACTCCGTGGTAGGCCATGTCAGACTGAGGCTGGACAAAGACAGCTGGGAGAACATCCCTCCGATGGTGTTCAAATCGTTCCAAGCCACGGCTGCCAACATGCCGCAGTCTCAAGATGCGTCGCCTGTGACAACATCGGCAGGTCTGAGCCAGTCTTGATCCATCCCGAGGAATGGTATCAAGAAGTGGGCAGATGTGTATGAAGGGTTGTTGCCTCAGGGCTGGAAAATGGTGTGACTTGCTGCGGCTGCATTTCATCACATGTGGTGTAGGCGAGCCAAGAGTCAGAGCGAGTCCATGAGCAAGTACGAGGCCGGCGCCTTGCGCTAAAGCCAGGTTTGCGCCCACGTCTCTTCGAAGGAGAAGTTGGCAATGCTGGAGCGAAACCTGGGAGTGTTGCCTTTGACTTGGTCGAACCCGTGCTGACACCCAAGACGGGGAGCAGACTTTGGACATTGAGCGCACCCAGGCAGGAACGTTCAGAAGCCATCACACAGAACATGACCGCGGCCTCTGAGCTGGGAAGGCTCAGTCTGTGTGGATCGGAAGAGTCTGACTGTTTCTCTCACTGCCAGTCGGTCATCGCTAATCTAACAGAAGGCAACAAGCCATGACCTGCGCTGGTGGGTTTCAGCGCATGGAACGGTGCGTTGCGGTGATGTTCAAGCATTTCGGCTGGAAGCCTATATTTTCTTTACCCATGAATTTAGCGCCTCACCGAAAATGTGCTGCTGAGGCCGGACCTTTGGGGTGGAGATGGATTTGCCTGGGCGACAGGATTGGGCAGGTGGCGCATGTGCAAGGACCATATAGTCAAATCGGGCATGCGACTTCGATAGAAGGTGCTGGAAAGCCACACGAGGAGGTGCTGACAGAGGACTTCGTAGTGCCGTCGTAGTGTCGTCGTGCTGGTGGAAATTAAAATTATGGTCATGAATGGGCAGGATGCAGACCTTCCACCTGGTACGAAGCTTACACCACACAGACGTCACGGGTTTTGCATTGCATTGCAGTTTGATAGCTCCTCCCCAACAAGACTTCACGATTCAGGAGTCGCCATCATGCAGACCAGCGGAATGCGCAAGATGCCCAGTGCTTTAAACTGGTGTAGCCGATCACCGGCAACAGAACCGCTGCAGTTCATGGTCTGCATGAAGGTTGAGTCGGCCTGTCGCATGTCTCATGCCCCTTCGTGCCCAGTCTTTGTGCTTTTTTTTTTTCTGACCATGTGCCTCTCGGTGTCGAGCCAGCGAGCGTGGCTGATGCTTAACGTAAATTGAATCAAGATAGAGGTGGTATGCTGTTCCGCGAGCAGCTTGCTGACGCAATGCAAGAAGTGTTTTTTCAAGTTTCAACTTGATGCTTGTCGCTCGACAATTCTTTGGAGAGTTAGAAGCCCTGCTGGATACATGGCAGGCTTCAAGCCTAGGAGGAGAACAGTGCCAGCGCCCCAAACCCCACAAATCCAACGTAACATAGTTGTAGTTGTGGCAGCTCCAATCACACAAAAGCATATTTCCGCAAGTCTTGTGTTCAGTGGCACAAGCAGGGAAGGCGACTTTTGGCTCTTACGTCTTCCTCGTCCTCCGACGAAGTAGGATGATGGCAGCGAGTTCTCTTCAGCCCTGTAAAATCTTTCTTCAGTCTTTTTCCATAGTGTCACATGCAGGACGGTTCGTCTCTGAGAGCAATGCTTGCAGCGGGAGGATTTATGTGTGTCGCCACGTCCACCGTTTCCACTCTCTCTTGCGTCTGCTCCATGTCCACTATCGCAGAACAGGTGTGTTCATGTCTGAGTTGCAACCACCAATGGACCAACTAACGACACCAATTCGGATCCTTTTGCCCGAGCTATCAACAATTCCAGCTTATGCTTTGTTGTGTGAGCTACATAGGCAGTGAGCTTGTGAGAAAAGGCACTTTGCACGGTGAGTTACGTCTTACATATACTGCCCGCCATCGGCCTCGTACGATGCTTCTAGCCAGCAGTTGCTGACAGTTGATGGTAGCATGTCAATGTACCAGCCGAGGGATTGAGAAGGCCTGCGCATCGTCGTCTTGCTTGATGCTGTTGTTGTTGCTGTATTAGTACATGTTGCCACTGCTTGAGCCGGTTGACTTGCATTTCGCGACATAGCCGTAATCCTGTTGCTCAACGGGTCAAGCTTCTGCAACGGCCGCCTGCGTTGTCTGCTATTGCTGCGTACAGTTTCCTGAACGACCAGCAGCCTTCTTTTTGCGCGCCTTGCTTTGGCGTGGATCTGTCATGTGTTAGTGTCACCGAAACTGCAACTGCACGCTAGCGGCATCTGCGCACGCTTCGGAAACGCAGCTGGAGCAGCTCGGGAGCTGGAGGACGAGACCAGCGCCTCCCTGCCAATCCAATGTAATGCTACATGTCCACCAGAAGGCCATGCCCAAGTTGTTGCTTTCTTGTAGGGTTGGGACACGGAGTCACTGAGACGCCATGAGCTTTGGTCTAGCCTGGACTGGTTTGTTTCGCTTGCTTTTCTCACATCCTGAAGTCGGTCTCCCTTTGAACGAGATCCTCTGCAAAGAAGAGGCTGGTGTTGCTGTTTGTCTCCCAGCCGGCATCTCGACCGTGAGTGACCTGGTGAGTTTGATGCCTTGAGCATGTTTTCAGCATTTTCTGTTGCTGTGGAAGATGTGGCCAACAGGCACTGACGGGTTGATTTTCTGGACTTGCGAGGACCTTTGTGGCAGTCGTGTACAGCTTTTACTGATAGGTCTTTACAAAGAACCGATGTGCCACCCTGTGAGCCATGCAGTTCGTGTGGGTGCCCGTTGCGAACTTCAGCTTGACAGTACTACACACTTCGGAGGAAGTTCGTGGCCGCTGACAAACAAACGTGGAATTGCTTCATGCGAGCACAGATCATTGCAGACAGAGGACGCAATGTGTCCGATGTGCATGAACATCATGTAGGCATGCTGAATAATATTCCTCACACGAAAAAGTTTCAGCAGCGTGGATCTTCGAACCCAATGTAGCCCTATGCAGTCCACCATGTTGGGCATTCGCCAACACTGCTTCGCGGAAGTCTTCGTGTGCGAGATATCTTCATGCCCTGCAGACCAAGACAAGGTTTGGAGAAGGAGCTCGACACATTGGAACTTGTCGACATCTTATGCCGTTGCAGTGCGCATGTCGAGGGCCTGCAAGCGTGCATGCACACCGGCTGCAAGATGCTGCAAGGCTTTCCACCGATGGGATGCAATGCAAGCCGAAGACCGCGAACGGCATCAATCTGTTCATGCTTCAATTGAGGTGGCAGCGGATTTTTGGGATGTCGTGTCGGGACTCCGAACTATAAAATGTTTGAATTTCATGCGGAGGAATTGCGCAGTGTTGCCGAACGGTCGAGCGAAAGGATACTTTCGTGGCGGGAACTTCTCAAGGACCGTGCATGCCATTCAAACTTCAACCGTAAGCGCTAGAATTTCGAAGACTGCGGACTGCCAGGAAAGCTCTCATGCCATAGATTCGTTGGGTGGCGCACTCGCTCAGATGCAGACGGCCGTGTCTGTTACTCAGGGGGCAAGCTGGGCCATGGGTGAACTTGAACGATGCAGTTCGCCGGCAAGCCATGCTGGGGCCAGGCAGGAGCTACATGCAACTCGCGTTCAACACCATGACGTGGAGTCCGCAGTGCGACAGAAGGGCGAGGCAGGGATGGTTTCAGCATGGGTGCCGCAAAGCCGGCTCGACGATCAGAAGAAACATGTCTAGGTTCTTTAGCATGGCCATTCAGCAGAAGCTTGTCGTACTATAAGTTTACAGCTGCTCAAGCGACAAGCTTCACATTTTCATTGCGGAGGTTTACGGTTTGAGTTTGCCACAGGAGCTAGAAAGCCTGCACAGATTGACCGAGCAGAGCATGGACAAGCTTTACCATCGTGTGGAGGCGGAGCTGTGTGAGCGAGTTGAAGTAACAGAGTGCTGGTGGAGGTTTTTGCGGATTCGGTCTGTCGAAGGAGCACGTATCAGAAGTACAACGCCTCATATTGGAGATCAGCCGCCTTGATCTTAGCATACTTGTGCTGCAGTCGAGAATTGGTACGTAAAGATCGGTACAGGACAAACTGATGAACGAATTGAAGATCACAGCAACCAGGCCGGATCGTGATAGTGCCTAGGCCTACTACCGGATGCAAAACCACATGTGGCCTGATACCAGGTTGCGAAGATGGTTGAGGGACACATGAACCCCCTCAACGCGTACTTGAACACGATGCATGTCAAGACTGACGTCTGCGACTTGATGCCGGTGTGACAGAGTCAGCGGGGTTGCTCGGAAACAGACGCAGTGTGTAAGAACAAGCCAGGGCAATCGTGTGTAAGAACAAGCCAGGGCGATCGAATGCCGCAGCATTTGGCCCGATCGCCCAATATTTCAACTTGTTTCGCATGTCGACATGGCTTCCAACGGTGCCTTCGCCGACTTCGAGGCCACCGGCGCCGACTTGGCGGTTGCTCCCTCCGAGGCTCCTTCAACCGCTGCCGGCACGTGCCAGCACATCGCTCGCTCTGCCCATGACCAGCGTGCCCACGGGCCCACGGGCCCGCCACGCCGCCACGGGCTCACGCTGATGTGTCAAATAGCCCGCAAGTCTAAGTGTCCATCACACCCCCTCCTCCGCCATCACCCAAATTGGAACCCTTCCCTTCAGACGGCAGCAGGGCCCGTAGGACCTATTGCCTTTGCACGGACAGCAAGTTGTGTTTTTTATCTGCAAAGCAAAAAGAACTATGGTGTCTTGAAGCACTTGGTGCAAAAGGAGCAGCAGAATATATACATGTGAGTGAGCCACCATGCCATTGCTGTAAATACCTATGCAAAGCCTGAGGGCGTGTATGATTTATGGTTTCAGGCAGACTCCAATGTCTCGAAGTTTCTTTCGCTGAAAGCATGGCTGGCGCACTTACACGTTTGTGGCTTAGCTGTCCTGTCGCATTGGCCCAGACTTTGCAGCTCCCTAGGACTGCTGCATCCTGGCTATCTGTTATTCAGTAGCCCGGTGTCTTCTTTGGCACAGATATCTTGTCTCCAGTTTTCTATAACTTCGAATGAAAACAGGTTCTGCAGAGAGCCCTAGTGGGACGGTGTTCCGCCGCCAGAGGATGGTACAGAGGTACCTTGAAATGAAGGTCTAGAACCCTTGTACTCATCACAACCGGGCTTGTAGGTGTGTGACCTGTATCTTCCATCACAGGCAGGACACCTTTCGACTTCAGGGTCGTCTTTCTTACCATTCGCTGCATTTGCCGAAGCATGGCCTCAAATGAGCGGTGGTCATGCTTGCTGTCCTTTCTTCCAGGTGGAAGTAAAGCTCGGCAAGCCCAGCGCAAGATGAGTATTCGTCATGCAGAGTCCAAAAGACACGCAGGTTGCAAGGTTTGCCGTGGGATCGCACTCCAAGGTCATTCGCAAATTCCTCATCATTTCGATTGGTCTTCAACCACAATGCGACACGCTCCTTGATAAGAGCAGTCTCACTGTCAGCAAACGAAAACTTTGTGTTCGAGGGAGAGAAAGTAAACTCAATCTTCCCAGGAGTGCAGCGCTCCACCCCCTTGATCAGTCGATTGATTGCGTAGCGGGAACGCATGGCATGAGTGCATCTTGAGTCGGGGACAACATAAGTTGGGTCCTGGTCAAGATTGACACGTTCAAAAAGAGCTGACAGCACTGCGTGCTGCAGAGGGAAGACTGCTGTGGCAGTATCAACTTCCAGCTTACTTACCTGACTTGTTTCGACAGTTGCAAGGCCGTGTAACTCTCGCAGGAGTTTGACACGGCATTTTTCCGCGGATTCGGATCTGCGGCTCTTCCTTTTGATCCTTTTGTTATTCTCTTGTGCTTCCATGTCTTCCTTCTTGAGACATCACATGCGAGTATGATTGCTGCTTGTTGCATGCGGCATAGTTCCACTCTTGATCAGCGGTAGCTTCGCAGGCTCCAGGAGAAGCGTTCGTTGAATCCCCAGTGGAGGACACAGCCCTGGCCGTTCTTTCCTTTCCTTTTGTTTGCCCCCTTGAAGGAGTGCTGGTCGCGTGCACGTGCGCGCCGTACTCGTAGATTTCGGCTCATGTAACAACACCCGCAGTGTGTAGAAAAACCAGGGCCCCAACATTTCGACTTGGCACCCTCTCCTCCTTTTTTTACGGAGCATTATTTTGATTGCTTATCGGCTAGTTGCACGGCCGGAGGAGCACACGCATGTACGTGCTTCGACCAGACATGGGTGTTCGCATTTGTAACTATTGGCTAAGTTGTCGTCATTTCGGACTTGTTGAAGATGACCAACGACGGACTGTACCGTGCCCAAGGTGATGAGAGTCGACATTGACAAGCTGAGAGACCAGGCGTGCCGTGCAGTGCCATACATACGCTTTCGCTGCGGCGAGCGGCCAGTCAATTCTGCATGCAGTCGTTTGCGCGGAGGCCCCGCGGTTGGTGTCCAAAATCGAAGAAATCATGAACAGGCTGACCGATGTTGATGAGGATGGGATTGGCATTAAATTAGTGTGTTTTTTTCATTGATTGTACTGCTGTTTCCGTTCTGGAGAGTACAGCAATGACCAACAGGAGCATAAGTCCAAGGGCTCCGAACTCGATTCGGCCATTGACGGGTTATCAAACCAGATGGCCTGAACCTCAGATGTACTCCGAGGATGGCTGATCTAACTGATCTAAGCAACAAAAAATCGAGGCTTCACATGTCCAGCGTTATGATGAGCAGCACACTGGCTTGAGCATGCTGCTGAAGGCTCGACGTGCTGACTTTTTAGACTATCGGGCAACAGTTGCTTGTCCGTTCGTGCTAGGACATGTCCGACAGTCTGGACACACGAATCGCAGAAATACGGGTTTGTGCTGAACGCACAGCAGAGGCCGCGGAGCATGTTTTGTCAGTTGTCTTATACAAACGACGACCGCATGATGTGCTTTGGATCGGAAATGAGGGAATGTTGCTGGGCGATTCAATTTGGTATTGGTACAATCAACGAACTTCCGTCCCCGGTCATACGAAACCTTCTGAATCCCAGTGGCGGGGATCTCGAAAAGTGGCGAAGCAGTTGGAAGGTGTCATACAAGCAGGAGCTGGGCGCTACTCCAAAACGCGGGACGGATTCACGCACGGCTTTCAGCTTTGCAAAGAAGCGACAGATAGCGACAATAGCCGCCCTGTTGTTGTCGAGTTTTTGACACACCTTGACAGTTGCTAGAGGAATGCGTAGATCGGAGGCGTGCCAGCCGAAGCCAAACTCCGATGTTGCGGTGCTTCTGTGAGTAGATTTGGGTTTGGGTTTGTTCAGTTGTCCCTTTTTCCCGTGGGTGGGATTCCGTGTGGGTGGGTTTGGTTCCGGGCTCCCTGCGTGGCTTCATGCAACATGGCAAGGAGGAAGGCCGCACTCGACTCGACGATATTCGCGCATATTCCGGTGGCTCGACCAAACCGCACCATTGGCACCGGGAGGGGGTTGGAAACGGCAGACGTCCGACCATTCATATATCGTCCGACATACCTTGGTATCTATCTATCTGATATCTGAGTCTATCTATCTATCTATCTAGCTATCTGTCTGTCTGTCTATCTGTCTGTCTATCTAGCCATAGTGTCAGTGTGTATGCAGTTTTTTTCCATGACCCATGAATGCAAGCATGGTTCTTGGCTGGCTACTGCAAGCGCTAGTTGAGAATCTGAGAATCGAGGGCGGAGCACCACCGCTTGCTTCGGTGCCCTTCGACGGTTGTCGCTTCCGGCACTTGGATGCCTTGCTCGGCCTCCTGGTGTGCACGGTTCCTTTGGAGTCTCCCCGAATCTATGGGCGATTTTAAGAAGATCTGAACCCTCGCTCCAACTACTCTCCAGAGCCCGTCCTGAAGCTCGCTTGCACGAAGCGAGAGTTCGGAAGAGTCTCATAGTGTATGTGTAACAGCTTTAGGTTAGAGTGTACAGCTACCACGTTAGTATATGTTGGACCAGTTGGCACCTCGCAGTCTTCACCTCTGACGCATCTGGTACGAGCTACTCCGACAAGACACGGACGTGTCATTGTAGAGCTCTCTCTCTCTCTCTCTCGCACCGGTTCGGATGGATCCATCGAGTTTCCGAGGCAGCATACACTTCTCGCAGCTGCATAAGACTCTGCTCTCCGGACTAAGACGGCGCCGACCCGTACACAGCGCACCCTCTTCACAGATCAAACTGTGAGCAAAGGCTGCTGATCAAGGTACTGGGCATCATCATAAGGCACAGATGGGTGCAACAAGTGCTGTCCCACACCCCTCAAAAACAGGACATCATGTATGTACAACACGAATCCTGATTGTAGAGCTCTTGCAGAATGGAGCAGATCACGCCACATGACATGCCGCATTCGCAAGGCACAGAGACCACTCGAGCAGTTTTGGAAATCTCACCCACAGCCTATCCAGGAACAGTTGTGTTGTCCGAAGTTTTCATTTTGCTGCGCTGTCGGGCTGCGGCAAGGTAGGAGACACAGTGGCCATCCACTCATAGACTTGCTTCGTGGAGTGCAGCGATGAGCTTGCCTTTTCTGTATTCCGTTGTGTGTGTGTGTGTGCCGGCACTCACGTGGTTATTTGGTGGCCCGCAATGCCATGCAACAACCTGCATCAAGCGCGTGTTCGTCGCTCTTGAGATCTCCGCTGTGCATTGATCGCCCTGTTCGTGCCTGGCAGTCTTTGGAACTGGTGAAGCGAGAGGATCTGAGTGGTTGGTGCCTCGTTCGGGGAGAGAGCTGCATGCTGCTCATGAATCAGTGCAACTTGAAGTCAAAGCCTGAGGCTTGGCAAGAGAACTCCTTACTCTTGATCAGAAGGCGCGCGTGACATCATTCTCCCATCGCGTGGCCTCGTCCGCGCAAGAGGTTGCAAAGTGGGTCCACGCCACTCCGTTGCCAGCGAAGATCAGCGAGGCCAAATGGGAGGAGTTGACGCGGTAGTGCTGCGCCGCGCTGCGCCGCGCTGCGCCGCCACCTCAACTTGAGGCTCGCTTGTACTCCCTGGAAGCTCGCCTTGCCGATGAGATGGATGCAAGGCATCCGATGTCCCGGCAGCTCTCAGCGCGAGACCAGTGTAAGTATGTCATTTGCAGTTCAATCCCGCTCTTGTGAAATGTTGCGACGCATCCGAGCACCGCCATCTCTCATGCATGACGTGGATGAGAGCAATGCCCGTCTTCTGTCAGCGACTGCAATGATGGTTTTCAGAGCACTGCAGGCTCGCCCTGGAGAGCAAGGCCTGTGGCTTTTAACTCTGCGTAGAGACTGTGATTTCCTCCCGGTCCAGCGGCTGCTTGTGGCCAAGTTTTGCCAAGGTTCGAAGACACGGCCCGCTGACGCCACGCATGACCAGGAGCGAAGACTCGGATTTGGCAATCGGCTCGGTAAGCACTGTGGATGAGCTTCCACTTTTGGGGCCTTGATTCTGCGAGGATCTAGGGTTTTGCATTGCTTAGCATCTTGAGAGTTTCTTGCTGGCTGATGTCAAAGATGTTGGCGGTTCACTTTGGAGCGATGTGTTTTTTCAAGGTGGTGCCCGGCCCATCTTTTCAAGACTTTCGGAGTCGGCAATGCCAAGCCTTTCTGCGTTGACTCGTGGATGCCTGGATGTTCGAAATATTTGCATGTGCTCGGCTGTCAGCTCGTGAGATTTTTTTGCAACACTGCTTGAGTGTTCGGAAGCTTGCAACGAGATATGATAATATTCTACTGCTGAACCCAGCAAGGCAATGACTTCCCACAGAAGAGAGGTGTGCCAGTCGTTTATGACCATCACTGTCTTGGTAGTTAGTACGCAGTTCTTCGAAGACGGCAAGGTGCTGCCACAGCTCTCTCACGACTCTTTCAGTCAAGGTGGGAAGACAATTCAAAGCAAGCGGTGTTCTCATGCGTCATGGTTTTTTCCCAGGCTTTGCCAAAGGAGCGGCCGTGGCCCCTAGGCCACAGTCAAGGGCAGGGGCAGCGAGGGGCAGGGGATCCGCCCGAAGCGCCAGGCGTGGTGGAGTTCGGTAGGTGGCACAAAGGAAGATTTTCTGCACGGGCCCTGGTCGCATGCACGTCAACCGAAGGGTCCACCTGCACTGTCCTTTCTTGGACCGCAAAGCATCTAAAGCAAGCATGTGCCTTTTGCGCAGCTCACTGGCAAGGTTAACGTTCAGGCAGGTGGTGCTCTGGCCAGCCCGGTGTACCTCTTGCGGTGAGAGCCTTTGCTCTGTTTCACCTGGAGGGCACCATGAAATCTTTGGCGCCTTCACACTCATTGCAGAGCTAGACAGAAATTGCATTCTGCCACCATTCCACCTGTAGCTGTAGTTCCTATGAGCGCACGTGGGTTCGGGAATGAAATTCCATTGTCGGTCCTTCTCTCCGTGTTGGTGTCGGTGGTTGGACTTGGCTCGGATTGGGGTGTGTCATCATCCCCGCCGTGTGTTCTCTGGGTTCGGGTGTGGCTGTGGTCAACCCAACCTACCTTCCCCGTCCGGCGTCTGGCGTGGCTTCATGATGCTTCATGCGCGTCACATTGGTTTCAGTTTCCCGGCCAACCCAATTCTGTTCGCAGGGCAACCCCCATTCCTTCAATTGTGCGCGCTTTCGGAGACGGCATGGCCACCTTGGGGCGCACAGCTCACTATGAGTCGGAAGGTGAGCGATTTCCCCCGACTGAAGCTCACGATTTGCGCAAGCAAAAGGTGTGAACGTGCGGACGGTCCTCCAGTCTGATGCTGAGCCAGGGTCCTGGGCCACCAGAGTCTCGCATCTTGACCATTTAGAGTTGCATCAGCGCGCAGGGTTTCTCTTGCAAGTGGAAGGTAAAACGAGCACAGACGGTTTGACCAGACTTTTGCTGGTGCACTTCTCCAGGGAAGGCAGGGCTGTTGACACATGAAACAACGGACGAAAACTTCCCCCCAACAGTCTAGCGAGCCCTGCATCCTACGCTGGTGCTGCTGCCTTGGGATTTTTCCCGCCATAAGGAAATGCCAAGGGCAATTGCGCGACGCAGTCTTCTGGAGTTTAGCGCACGGCAGCAAGGTGCCACCAAGGTAAGAGATCCAACAAGCAGTGCTAGAAACTGAAGTGTCCAGAAGATTTTAGGGCATGCAGCAAACGTTGCAAGTCACGCCGTCTCTGCACCATGTCGTGTGGAAGTGTTTGGGAGGTGGAGAGTAGAGAGGAAGATGTTGCACTTCAACAGCATGTGGTGGTAATTGACTATGTCTTGCATGAAGTACTGAATCTAATAGTCGAGTATGCAGCAGCTGCCAATGTCGAAGCCATGCAGCCGTCTGAAGAACGTCGGAGCCTGACTGTGTTGGTCTCTCGGATTGCAAGATTCATGATAGGACCGCGGTTTTTGCAAGGCGATGCAAGGCATCGCGACTCATACCACCACATCATACATCATCACACCACATCGCAAAACTGTAACAGGAAACAGCAAGCAGTGTGTAGGAGTGCACCGCACCATCTCGTCCTGTGAGGGTGTTGGTATACACAGTTCTTTAGCCTCTAGATTCAGGTATGTTGATGTCATCACCCCCTTTTCGATGAAGGAGGACCATGCCACAGCAGCCGACAATTACGCGTCAAGTCTGCAGCGATGGCGTGCAGCGAGCTACTGGGCTAGCATGTGGTGAAGATGGACTGGATTGCCACGTCCGTGAGGAAACATGTGCGGAGTTGAGGGCAACTGAGAATGGGGTTGTACGCAGAGTCCTTGTAAAGCGTTTTTATATATTTTCGTTTAATTATGCTGTTTGGAAGAGCTTGTGAAACCGTGGCCAAGGTGAGTCCAACGTACGTCATCAGATGGCCGCCTGCCGCCACGATCCCGGCATCGGAGCAAAGAGCTCTGCAGTTCCGGCCCATCAGTCGGAAAGTGTGTTCGACGGGTCTGAGCTCTTGCAAAGTGCATCCAGCCGCGCCGGGAAAGAGAACACCAACAATCCTGTGCATCGGCGACAGCTTGACTTCTGGAAGTCGAGGCTCATTCTCGTATCCCGAAGAACTTCAAGCGATGCTCGAGCAAGCGGGAATTGACATGAAGGTTTCCAACGGTGGCAACTGGGGTGATACCACCGACCAGATAAGACGACGCCTTCCCTCCTTGATGCAGTCTGTCATGTCTCAGGGCGGTCGCTTGGCATTTGTTCTGGTGCTGGCTGGCACAAACGACTTGCTGCAGCTGCCACCGCTTGAGGCGACAGTGAGCGTTTCGATTCCTCGCATTGCAGGAAAAATCAAGGAGATTCTCGACATAGCCTCCCAGGCTGCTTTTCATCCTCATGTTGGTATCTTGTCTCTGCCGCCTCTGCTTAGCCGAGATGTCGGCAGATTGAAGCTGAACCAAAGCTTACGTCAACTATTCGGAGCACCAGGACTGCTCCACAGATCCCAGGTTCCAGGAGCGGGCGCCCGCTTCCTGGTAGATCTAGACACCGTGGATGCAGCTCTTTCAACAGACGGAGTTCATTACGGCCAGGAGGGCTACAACCAGTTCGCAAAGCGAGTGATGCAAGTAATTCTGCCAATGTTGAAAGCCGATGCAGCACACGGAGGTCTTGCAGTGTCCTCGATCTCGGCGTGAAGACCTAGACGACATAGAGGCGACCAGGAGTCACCAATCTCAGCCAAAAGAGCTCTTTGTACTTGGTTTCTGCAGGCCGAGCACTTGTGCTTGCAGGTACGTAACAGTAGCTTGACAGATGGAAGATATGGCAGACCTCAATAGCTGTCGTGGCATTGCTCATGGTGTGACAGATCCACAGTTTCTTTGCTGCCACGAGTTGCTGAAGCGCGCCGTACAAACGGAAGAATCAATCAGGACATATCAGGATTATCACCACAGGCCACGCTCCTCGTAACACGATGCCGCAGAAGCACAGATTGGTACTTGTAGCCGGAAGCCCCGCACCATGTCCAATTGGCTTGGGTCCGCCCACGAGCAGGCCAATGGAGTGGCGATGTGAAAGTGTGGTTGAGTTCAAATAAAAAATGTGATATTCTTCGTCAAAGGTGCTATCATGTGCTTGCAAAGGTTTCGAACGCTCTGGCCAGCGCGCCAAGCCTGCAAGATGCCGCTGCGAAGCTGGGCATTAGTGACTTTTCACAGCCTGGCTCCCAGAACTTGATGGCCGGTAGGTGTGCTTATGCTTGCTCTCTTCGTAGCTCAGGTGGGCAAGCGCGAAGGCCTTTGACCTGCACTCCCAAGCACGTGAGCAGGCTCGTCAAGCTTGTAGTGAAAAGACCCAGGGAGCGAAAGGAGCACTGGGGGCCGGAGGGGCCGGTGGATGCGGGTGGGTAAGGTGAGTTGTCGCAATGTGCTGAATCGCATGCTTTGCGTGCAGCACCGTGCAGATCCGTGCAGCCTGCTGATCGACTTGTTTTGCAACCTGTGCACAGGCTAAGGAGCTTGTCAAGGCAAGAATGAAGAACGAGTTTGGGTCAGAGATCCTTGATATGCTGAATGCCCTCTCGGACTGCACGCGGAAAATCTCAGAGGACAACCTGCATGAATTGCATTTCACCTGTTCAGCTGGGTGACGAAAGATGTGCCGAGTTGACCTATGCTTGCCAGCGGTACTTCGCTGACCTGCGGAAGTTCGTTTGTGCAAGGAGTTGAAACTTGAGAATGCGAAGTTTGGCATCACTTTGGCCCTTCCATTGGTGCTCGCCTGATCGTGCTAAGACATGCCATGGTGGTGTGCGGACTCTTGTACTGGTAGTGGCTGCTTTTATTCATTTGGCCAGTCCCAGGTGGCCGTGCAACACAACACGCTGGACCCGCCCACATGCGAAGGACCTTCGAGGGACAACCCGCAATCCGAAGTGCAGGAAGTGCTAAGCCGAGGACTGCTCCTCGACCCAGCGGTGGTGGCAGAAGCCAATCATTGGGCTGGAGCCTCGAAGAGCCGGCGCAGCCTTCAGGACATGGCAGACTTGCACTGGTTTCAAAGACACCCCAGCGAACAGACTACAGCTCGAACGCGTCCAGAGGCGAGCTTCAACAAGCCACCATCAAGATCTTTTGCAGTTTTGTGCCACCTTGCCACCTCTCTGTCATAGATCTGCAGAGAGATTTTCAAAGCTGCTGCAGCTCCGACATGATTTTGTCGACTGGACTTGTGACAGGAGTGCAGTGTTGCACCTGTCTCAAAAGCTCCACTTGTTGGGACGCAACTGATGTCCAGCACGACACCAGCATCTCACTCAAAAGCTGATGGACATCCGCTGCTCCCAGGTTGACTTTGCCCAGGGTGCCTATGGGACCTCCGACATCAAAGGATATGACAAGGCCCATGTAGCCCTGTGGCAGTGCTGTGGCATACAGCGGCATGTGCTGTTTGGGCGAAACAATGTGCGGGGGAGAGCTTGGAGGCAAGTGTGATTAATGCAATCGAGCAAAGTGGTGGTGACAAGTGTCTCGGCCGGCACTTGCATTTCTATTTTGGTCCGGTCGTGTCCTCCAAGGCGTGGGATCGAGGTGAGAGTGGCCAACTTGCCTGCCCAAGGCGAGAGCGAGTCAGCTAGCTCAGCTCGTGCTGCATGCAACAGACAGTTGCTGTGACTGCAAGGGGTCCAAATGCCGGGACATTATGTTGCGTTGGACAGGACTGCAAAGAGGGCCGCTTCCAACTTGCTTGGATGTTTGTAGTTTGTTTGCCCTCAATGGAAACGAGCTCCGCCTTTGTCGATTAAGACTCTCTTTTCGTCATGGGTCTCAAGCGATTGCTTTCAGTCGTCATGCAGCGGATGCTGCACCTTGCGTACGTCCCAGTGTCACTGACTTGCTTCACGATTTTGAGCCCTTGCGCATGTTGCTACTTGAAGGATCGTGTCGCTTAGGAAGTAGTTCGAGCAGTTGGATAAACTAGTAGGTTGGCTAACTGAGGATATAAGTTTTGTAAGCAAGGTTATAGTTCCTCCCAATAGTTTATAACACATAGAAAGTGCGAGAAATCACTCATGAATACCTGTCATGGTTGGTGTACAGTTACAACAGTCGGGTAATTGGTAAATAAATGATTAATACGTGATTGTGCATGATTTATAATTTATAACCATTTAGATCTTAACTTATGGGTTTATAAGTCCAGCAAGTGCACCTATGCTGTGTTGAGAAGACACAGGACAGCAGGCCATGCAAGAAGCGAGCAGAGGCTAAACGATTGCATTGTCGGCATGTGCTTGGAGACATGCGACACATTGCAAGCCAATGATGCTGTCTCATATCCTGATGCAGATTGCCTCGTCGACAGGGCAATGTGCTCACCGGCAGGCATAATCACATGCGCAGTTGTCCACTGCCAGCCTTTCACACGTTGTCAAGCCATCGTGGACTTGGCGAAAGAAGGTGATGGCCTCGTGAAAAGCGTCCACGACTGCCTGGAAAGTCGCGGACTGCTGTGCAAAATGGATGCTGCATCCGGCTTTCGTGGGCATATCCCGCCTCGATAGAGATGGCAGTGGCATGAGTTGCTGAGCGATATTCTTTCTGCTGGCTTCCTGGACGACCGTGCCGTGGAGCCGTGAGATGCGGGCGAGATTCAATGGAATGTGGTTTTTTCGAGACGGCTCACGGCATGCCGGGAAGCTTCGATGCAAGCTCGATCAAATGCTTGAGTCTGGCAGGATCCCACACAAATTGCGTGCTCAGGATCCTGTCCCATCACAGGAAGTCCAGCACGATGGTGACGAGTCAATGTGCCACGATGGCCGGTTAAATCTTGAGCTTCTGCGAAAGAACGACAAGGTCTTCTATCACGCAGCTCAGAATGGCGTGACATGGAAAGTGCTCACCAAAGAGGCCACCTTCGAGCATTGGGCAGAGGAGAGGGAATGCTACACTCCAGCGACATAGGCGTGAACTTCAACTCAGGAGGCGACTACATGGAATGTGGCTCGCAGAGTCGGCGCAGCAGGAGAGGGTGGATTTCATGTCCAAGTCACCACCGGGAAAACTCATCACCGGAAAGCCTTGCCTCACCTATACATGTTCGGGCTGAAGTTTGAGGGCGGACGAGTGCCATTCTTTTTGCGAAAGACAGCCCATCTACTCGTAACCTTGTCGTAACCTTGGGAGAAAATCTACCAAGAAGTCAGGGTTTCAACCAATTCCCCACAGCAAGGCATGCATTGTCGTCTGTTTCATGTACAGGAACATGTTTCTATAGTACATGCCTGTCCTGACATGAACAAGCCCAAGTGAAGCTCTCATATGCACAAAGATTCGATCAGTGAGGCTCGGGTCGCAGACGGATACATGCAGAAGTGGCGATTGCTGATCGAGAAGCTCCCGGAGGGCAAGAGCGTCTGAGAAGGCCCGAGCTTCTCACAGCCTTGAGCTTCGCCGACATTCATCTCATCGGCTGCCTGTGGAAGTGAAGCAGTACACCTCACAAGAGGTCCTGTCAGACGATGTAGTTGTTATCATGCAAGGCATCTGTCGCCATGTCATCGACCCGCCATGGAGTGTCCGTCGTCCGTGCCATGCGAGTGCAAACCGACGCTGCCAGTCCGAAGCCTGCAACATCAGAGATCAGGCGGGAACTCACTCCAGATGGGACTGTCAAGGATGGATTGACTCTGTTGCAGGATGCTGGGTTTGCCGTCGGAGCATTTTGCAGCAGGAAGTCCGATAGACAGAGTGAGCAGATCACGGGTTGCCAGAATGGCAAAGTGCAGCTGAAGCAGCCCGATGGGAGTCTAGGAATCCAGGCAAGGTCTTGATGGATGTGTTTCTCAGTTGAGACTGGGTGACATACACTCCCAAGCCCGAGCCCGTGCTTCTCACAGATGTGCTGCAGTATGCCCCAGACAGGCGTCCTGGTTTCGACAAGCATTGGATGCAAGCCATGATCACACTCGACATGCTTGAGCGGCAGGCTAAGTGCCAAGCAAACAATATGCTCGATCGACTTCAGAGTAACTCGAAGCCACAGAAGAAGGTCGTTGCCATGAGCAAGATTCCCAAGACCAAATTGATCGTGGTTCCGTGCGCGGGAGGATTGCATTGCGGTCATGCGGCCTTTGCGCATAGGCTGTGGAAGGCGTGGATCCCGAATCACAAGACCGAGGAGGGCAGGGTGTGGTTCGAGGTGGTGGGGCAATGGGATCGAGGCTTCACCAGATTCGTTTTCGGCTAGGGCTTCGGTCTCCGCCAGAAGGAGAGCCGATCCTTCAACAGCAAGTTCTATTATGACAACCGTTTTTCTTTCGTCGGCAGGCCAATGCTCGCCGGCAGATGTGAGCACCGCACACATGATTCGGCGTTGAAAAGTGACTCTGCCGTATAGCGCTTGCTTCTGTGTACGCGCGTAGAGCAAAGCAAAGGGCTCGTTAGTGCCTAAGCTGGCTTAAACCTTTCCGTGAAGCCCTCTTTCAGAAGCACCCATACTTGTGATTTTGATGTCACGCAAGTATCCTTGCACATCGTGCGACGCAGTCCTATGTAGCCAGTTTCAGCAGCTATCATACGACGAAATAGAAAAGATGTGTGTTTGTTTATGCACTGCAGGACTGATAATTGCCATTGTTTCGCGTACATTGCTGCGTCGTAAGCACACAACAGTTCGGTTCATGCGCTTGCGTATCAAAAAGAGCGACAAGCGCGAACCGGATATGTTCATGATTGCCTTGCGAGCTTCGCTCCACCGCAGACCCATGCATATCCTATTCTTAGATTTCTTAGATTACTTCGAGAGTCGCGTGCACGAAATCAGAAAATTGAAAAAGTATGTTCCAATACGTTGCTTCTTCCGCAGTATACTGGATCAACTAGCTTAACTAGCCATCCCGGCCACCGCGTGCAACATGTCGGCTTCCTTTGTCGGCAAAGTTCCCGTGGAGATTGCTGCCCTTATCTTTGATTACGCAATCGATCCTGTTGGGCCCCCTGTGCCAGCGGCGCCCACCGAATGGCCTCGCCGCATTGGCGCACTTCCAGATGGATGCACTATTCAGTTTATCATACTTTCTTGTTTTTCCCTGCTGGAATATTAGTTTATGTTATCAAACCAAATCCGGACCAGTGTGCTGTGCTATGCAGTGATTCAGTTGAGGATCCATTGTTTACCGACTTCGTGACATTTTCTTCAAGATCACGCCGAATTGGGGAGGGGTTTTAAGAATTATTTGCTTTTATTTTCTTTATTGCTATGAGCCTACAGTCTCATCCTCTGTTCGGAGTCATTCGGGCTCCGGCTCCGTAAGGAATAATGATGGGGCGCCTCTGACAGCAGAAGACATGTTCAACTTCGAATTCGATTAGGGCCTCGAAGAGGCAGCATATTCAATCCTGTAAGAAGAAGACACGATCAGATATCTGTTGTGGCGAAGAAAAATTATCGAGTTTCAAGATTGTGCATTTGCAATCGTTGCCATGTATGATGCTGTGTTTCTGCTGAACGTGGGGTCTTAGAGGGGGAGTAGCATCTATATATACAAAGGTATATAAGTATATAATTATATAAGTATATGAGTATATAAGTATATAAGTATATAAGTATACAAGTATATAAGTACATAAGTATATAAGTATGAGAGAGGAGCCTCTAGGGTCTATTTAACCATCGGTATTTGATTAAATAATTTCAAAAATTTATCTAATTTAATTAATTTAATGAATAGAATTGAACCAAATTCTATTGATTAAATTAATTAAATAAATTAAATCGGCCGGGGGATTTAATTCATTTAATTAATAGAATTGAAGCCAATTCTATTAATCAAATTAATTAAATACATTAAATCGGCCGGGGGATTTAATTCATCTGATTAATAGAATTGAAGCCAATTCTATTAATCAAATTAATTAAATACATTGAATCGGCCGGGGGATTTAATTATTTCAATTAATAGAATTGAAGCCAATTCTATTAATTAAACTAATTAAATAAATTAAATCGGCCGGG